CCTCATACCATGCACAAAAACTAACTCAAAATGGATCAAAGACTTAAATATAAAATCGAAAACGATAAAGATCATGGAAGAAAAAACAGGGACAACGCTTGAAGCCCTAATACATAGCATAAACACAATATGAACCATAAGTAACAATGCACAAGCACCAGAAGAGAGTCTAGATAACTGGGAGCTCCTAAAAATCAAACATTTATGCTCATCAAAAGACTTCACCAAAAGATTAAAAAGATAATGTACAGACTGGGAAAAAAATTTTGGCTATGACAAATCTGATCAGTGTCTAATCTCTAAAATCTACACGATTGCAAAACCTCAACAACAAAAAGACAAACAACCCACTTAAAAAATGTGCAAAGGATATGAACAGGCACTTCGCCAAAGAAGATATTCAGGTGGCTAACAGACACATGAAGAAATGTTCACGATCATTAGCCATTAGAGAAATGCAGATCAAAAGTACAATGAGATATCATCTCACTCCAACAAGGCTAGCACTAATCCAAAAAACACAAAAAAAAATAAATGCTGGAGAGGTTGTGGAGAGAAGGGAACACTTATACACTGTTGGTGGGAATGTAAAATGGTACAACACTTTGGAAATCGATTTGGCCCTTCCTTAAAAGGCTAGAAATAGAAGTACCACACGATCCAGCTATCTCGCTCCTTGAAATATATCCTAGAGAAATAAGCCATCACACAAATAGATATATGCACAGCCATGTTCACTGCAGCACTGCTCACAATAGCAAAAAGATGGAAACAATCTACGTGCCCAGCAACGGATGAATAGATAAACAAATTATGGTATATCCACACAGTGGAATACTACGCAACAATAAAGAACAACGATGAAGCCATGAAACATCTTATAAAACATGGAAGAAGCTGGAGGTCATTATGCTGAGTGAATTTAGTCAGTCACAGAAGGACAAATATTGTATAAGACCACTATTATAAGAACCCCAGAAAAGGTTTAAACACAGAAGAAAACATTCTTCAATGGTTACGAGGGTGGGGAAGGAAGGGGAGGGTTTTTTACTAACTAGATAGTAGATAACAATTATCTTAGGTGAAGGGAAGGACAGCACACACTACAGGGGAAGTCAGCACAACTGGACTAAACCAAAGCTAAGAAGTTTCCTGAATACAACCAAACACTTCGAGGGATACAGTAGCAGGGGTAGGGGTCTAGGGACCATGGTTTCAGGGGACATCTAGGTCAACTGGCATAAGAAAGCTTATTAAGAAAATGTTCTGCATCCTACTTTGGTGAGGGGCGTCTGGGGTCTTAAAAGCTTGCAAGCGGCCATCTAAGATGCATCAATTGTTCCCAACCACCTGGAGTACAGGAGAATGAAGAACACCAAAGACACAAAGAAAGTAGTAGCCCAAGACACGGAAAGGGCCACATAAACCAGAGACTTCATCAGCCTGAGACCAGGAGAACTAGATGGTGCCCGCCTACCACCTGTGACCGCCCTGACAGGGAACAGAACAGAGTCCCGGATGAAGCAGGAGAACTCAAATTCTAGTAAGAAGACCAGACTTAATGGTCTGACTGAGACTGGAGGAACCCAGGAAAGCATGGCCCCTGGGTTCTCTATCGGCCCAGAAGTAAAACAATTTCTGAGGCCAACTCTTCAGACAGGGATTGGACTGGACTGTGGGACATAAAGTGATCCTCGTGAGGAGTGTGCCTCTAAGCTCAAGTAGATTAACTCTTAACTCAAGAGACTAAATGGGCAGCTTCCGTCTGGAGGTGAGAAGGGAAGGCAGAGTGGGTTAGGAGCTGGTTGCATGGACATGAGGAAATCAGGTGGAAAGAAGAAGCATGCTGTCACAGTTTGGGGAGAGCAATTAGAGTCACATTAACAGTGTATGTATAAATTTCTTTTGGGGAAAAATTAAAAAAAAAACAAAAAACAGAAAGTAATTCACCACGAGTCACCATTAAATAACATGTATTAGACACCTACAAACTTCAGAAAATAGAACTATTTGACAGAAAAAATAAAATAAGTATGTTTAAAATAGAGATCTAAAAGAAAATAAAAAACTGTAAGTAACCAAGACCCCACTGAAAACACCAAGGCAGACTGGAAAAAGAACAAGATTTATTTGTAGAAAAAATATGCTACATTGAAAGTAAAATCTCAGTTTTGGTTTAAAGAGCAGATTCGGTACAGAAGAAAATTTGTGAACTAGAAAACAGATTTGTCTGAAGAAATACAGTGCAAGGAGACAGTGCTAATAAATATGAAAAGAAATGGAGAAAAGAATGTGAAAGTCCTCTCATAGGAGTTCAAGAAGGCCAGCGTTTAGTGTTGCTACAACAGAAGTACCACAAGTGGATGGCTTTAACAAAGAGAAATTCATTCTCTCACAGTCTAGTAGGTTAGAAGTCCAAATTCAGGGTGTCAGCTCCAGGGGAAGGTTTTCTCTGTCAGCTATGGAGGAAGGTCTTTGTCATCAATCTTCCCCTGAACTAGAAGCCTCTCAGTGCAGGGACCCCAGGTCCAAAGGATGCACTCTGCTCCTGGTACTGCATTCTTGGTGGTATGAGGTCTCCCTGTCTCTCTGCTTGCTTCTCTCTTTTATATCTCAAAATGATTGATGCAAGACAAAACCTAATCTTGTAGATTGAGTCCTACACCTCATTAACATAACTGCCTTTAATTCTGCCTCATTAACATCATAAAGGTAGGATTTACAACACATAAGAATATTACATCAGATGACAAAACAGTGGACAATCACACAATACTGGAAATCATGGCCTAGGCAAACTGATACACATTTTTGGGGGACACAATTAAATTTGTAACAGCCAGAATCAATATAATGTGGGAACAAAAATTTGACAATGATTAAGAAATTTCCAGAATGATGAAACACATAACTCCTCTGATTCAGGAAGTATAATGAATCCCAGTCAGAATAAGTAAAATGCTGGAGACAGAGCCATTTTAGCAAAACTGAAGTACACCAAAGACAAAGAGACCTTAAAAGCAACCAGGGATTGGAAACCATATAAATGACAAGAACCTAATAACAAACATATATATAAAACTTCAACAACTTAACAACAAAAAGACAAATAACCCAATCATAAAATGGGTAAAAGACTTGACTAGACATTTCACCAAAGAGAACAATCAGATGGTCACCAAACACTTGAAAAGATGCTCAGCGTCATTAGCCATCAGAGAGATTCAAATCAAAACCACAACAAGGTAGCATTTTATTCCCACTAGGATGGCTAAAATTAAAAACAAACAAACAAACAACATACAGAGACAGAAAATAACAAATGTTGGTGAGGATGTGGAGAAATTGGAACCCTTATCTGTTGCTCATGGGAATGCGAAATAGTACAGCTGTTGTAGAAAAGTGTGGCAGTGCCTCAAAAAACTAAAAATATAACTACCTTATGACTCAGCAATTTCACTCCTAGGTATATACCCAAAAGACTTGAAAGCAGAGACTCAAAAAGAGACATGTACACCAATGTTCACTGCAGCACTACTCACAATAGCCAAAAGGTGGAAACAACCTAAATGCTCATCAACAGATGAATGGATAAACAAAATGTGGTACATACATACAATGGAATACTACTCAGCCAGTAGGGGAAATGAAGTCTTGATACATGTTATAATATGGATGGAGCTTGAAGACATTATGCTGAGCAAAATAAGCCAATCACAAAAGGACAAATACTGCATGACCTAATTTATGTAAAAAGAAAAGGCAAATGTAAAGAGAGACGAGGAAAAGAAAAGAAAAAAAAAAGCAACTAGGGAGAAAAAAACACATCACCCACAACCAACAGTAAGAATGAGAGCAGACAGCATAAAATGATAGCTTCAAAGTACTGAGGGACAACAGGTGTCAACCTAAAATGCTAGGCTGAACTAAATTTATGAATAAAGGTGAAATAAAGATATTTTAGACAAAGGCATTACAGAAAGCATTACTAAAAAGCAAGGCTCTCATTAAGGTGTATTTGAATATTTGAGGGACATTTCTGGTTTTTACAATGACTAGGGAGTTCTACTAGTTTGTGGAGAATGGGAGCTAGAAATGCTAACTTGCAAGACAGTCCTATACAATGAATAAATGTCCAATCCAAAATGCTGCAGTGGCCCACTGAAAACACAGAAGAAAGAAATCGTGGATCATGTGGGTTAACTGCCTGCTAAAAAACAAAATAAAAATGACTAAATTTTAAGGTATAAAAATGAAACAGAAGTAAAATACTGGAAATACTGTGATTTAGAATTAAAGTTTCCCAAGGTCTGTGTTTTATCAGGGGGAATAGCAGAGCTATTCAACAGTTTTAGTCTAAAACTGCATGGGTAACAACCACATAAGCACACAGACAAATGGAAAGTAAAAAAGGAAGAGATGTATGAGGTAAATATTAAGCAAAAAAAAAAAAAAAAGTTAATACAGCCACATTAATATCAGACAATATACATTCTAGAGCAAAAACCACAATTATGATTAAACAGGGCCATTACACAATGATAAAAATTTTATCTCGCCAGGAAGGAATGACAATTCTAAACTTATGCACCTAATAACATAATTCCAAACAATATAAAGAAAAAACAAATAAAAGGGGCATGGAAAAACTGCCAAATCCAGCATTATATTCAGACAGCTTAAAAAAAATCTCTTTTAGTAATAGTAACAGACAGATCGAGCAGATAATAATGTATAAAGATCTGAACTATTTAAGTAATAAGCTTGAGTTAACAGACATATATAGAACCTTGTAGTCAACAAACAGAAAATACGTATTCTTTTCAATCACATTTAAATCTATCATAAAAAACATGTTCTCTGATAACACTGTCAGTTGTAAAATGGTACAAATATACCAAAACATCCCTATAATTTTAGGATGTAAAAAACAAAAACCAAAACAAATAGGTCATCATTAAAATAATAAAAACATGATTATTTTGATTAACACATCCTACCGATATAATACGATCTCCCTTTCTGAGCTCTCCACTAAGATCAGCAGGTCCTCCAGCCAATATAAAGGAAATAAATATTCCTTCTCCATCTTCACCTCCTACAATGTTGAAACCAAGGCCTGTTGAGCCACGATGAAGAACAACTTTTCTTGGTTCCCTAAAAATTAAAAAAATATTAAACACCTTAAAATTTTAAATTGAACTTTATGTTGTATCTATGAGAACTCTCTATTGGTAGCTCTTATATTATCAACTATAAAAAAAAGCTAGAGATTCTTTTTAAACCTAGAAATTAGGCTTGGAAATCAAAGAAAAAAACTAGAACTCATTTTTATAAAAGGTAAAAGCCTGTATTAAAGAACAAGAAACCAAAAAAAAAAAAAAAAGGGGGAGAAAACAATGTGGAAATTAAAACAATATAAAAAGACTAAAACAAAACCCAAACCCGTTGCCATCATCAATTCCGACTCATAGCCTACTCAAGAAATACTCAAGTAATATATGTAACAATGCTGCAGACACATTTTATTGCCTATGAAGTGGTCACTGCCCCAAATCCTAGATTTTGTATAAGGCAGATATTTCAGGGACGCAGGTCCTTTCTTCAGTTTCCAAGAGATGAATCAGGACTAACTGGCTAAATCAGTCATTGTAATCCCATTCTCCTTTGTTAGAAGTGAGGCTGTGACTCTATTCTGGCCTCTGAAAGGGAAATTTTACTGTCTCTTCCTAAATCAAGACAGACCTTCAAATGGACAAAGCACATGTGTCCATAACTCCCGCCAGACCTTCCCCACCGAACAAAGGAATGAAGAATTGTTATTGCTGTCAGGTGTCATTGAGTCAGTTCTGACTCATAGTTACACTACGTACAACAGAATGAAACACTGCCCAGTCCTGCCCCGTCCTCACAATCGTTGTTATGCTTGAGCTCATTTTTGCAGCCACCGTGTCAATTCATTTCGTTGAGGTCTTCCTCTTTTTCACTGACCCTCTACTTTACCAAGCATGATGTCCTTCTCCAGATAACAGGTCCAAAGTACATGAGATGAAGTCTTGCCATCCTCGCTTCCTAAGGAGCATTCTGGCTGTATTTCTTCCAAGACACATTTGTTCATTCTTCTGGCAGTCTATGGGTATATTCAGTAGTCTCTGCCAACACTATAATTCAAGCGCATCAATTCTTCTTTGGTCTTCCTTATTCATTGTCCAGGTTTCGCACGCATATGAGGCGACTGAAAATACCATGTCTTGGGTCAGGGGCACCTCAGTCCTAAAGTAATATATTTGCTTTTTAACACTTTAAAGAGGTCTTTTGCACCAGATCTGCGCAATGCAATACGTCATTTGATTTCTTGACTGCTGCTTTCATGGGCACTGATGGTGGATTCAAGTAAAATGAAATCCTTGACAACTTCAATCTTTTCTCCATTTATCATGATGTTGCTTACTGGTCCAGCTGTGAGGATTTTTCTTTTCTTTACGTTGAGGTATAATTCATATTGAAAGCTGTAGTCTTTTATCTTCATCAGTAAGTGCTTTAAGTCCTCTTTGCTTTCAGCAAGCAAGGTTGTGTTATCTGCATATTGCATGTGGTTAATGAGTCTTCCTCCAATGCTGATGCTGTTCTTCTTCATACAGTCCAGCTTCTTGGATTATTTGCTCAGCACACAGACTGAATAAGAATGCTGAAAGGATACAGCCCTGATGCACACCTTTCCTGACTTTAAGCCACGCAGTAGCCCCTTGTTCTGTTCAAATTTATTGTTATTTGCACAGGGTTATTGCTTATATTGTGAAAATAGGTAAGAATGCCGTAGGAGAGAGAGAACGTTATAAAAAAGCTCTAGTGAAAAGGTAATAAAAAACAGTTAAAAGTACTATGTAAAAAAAAAAAACAAAAAGACATAAATCTGGAAAACATTTCAGGGAAAAAAGTGGTTTAAACTTCAAATCCAAATAATAGATAACTTTAAATCTGGAGAAAACATCTGAATGTATTATATTCAGGAAAATAGCAGATGAGTGTCACTACCACAAGTACTGTATATCTGATAGCTTTAAATCCAAGTGAGTGAAATAAATAATACTGTTGTCGTTGTGTGCCACTGAGTCGATTCTGACTCACAGCGACCCCACAGGACAGAGCAGGACAGCCCTATAGGGCTTCCTATGCTGTAATCTTTACAAGTACAGATTGCCAGGTCTTTTCTCCCACAGAGCAGCTGGTAGGTTCAAACTGCCAATCTTTTGGTTAGCAGCTGAGAGCGTTAACCATCTGCATTACCCAGGAACTCCATATATATACATCTACACAAATATGTGGGTATATTATATTTAGGAAAACGACACATGATGTTATCACCATAACAAATAATATACAAGAAAAGGGCAGGGCTTTATTTATACATTAAAAATAGAACTCTAAAAAAACTAGAAAAACTATCTTTTCTGAAAAAATTTAGTTATTTAATCATCATATGTAAGATAACCATTTCTAACATGTTAAAGTTATGTTAATTTAAAAGATGTGGCACAATGATTTTATAATATGCACAAGTGAGAAGATAAACAAGAAGCAAACAGAGAGGAAATTAAACTATTATGTGTTAACAAAGAGAGTACATGAGGGCATATATTCTGATTAAATGAAATATTACCTAACAAAAAAGTTAAAAATGTGGAAAAACTATCTGTTTTACAGACAAGAATAAGCAGAAAAAGAAAACTAAGTTGCTAACATATATTTTAATTGTGAAATCTGCAAGGAGGTTAGAGAAAAGAACAGATAATCTGTTAACTATTTTTCTCTTTACCTCTATAAACAGACACTAATAGAAAACAACAAAAATAAAAGCCCATGACAGATCAGTCTAAGATCATAGCCTGAAGACTAACAACCTTAATATTCATGTCACAAGCAAATCATCAAAAACACTCCTCTTTCTGATAATTTTCAATTCTCATTCCAAACACAATTCCCGAGCACCTATTAATCTTCATACATCATTAACTCTTGAAGAAGAGGACAAAACACCCCTATTTGTCCTTAAGGAGATCATTGCAAAGAAGTCAGGAGTCAGACAAGTAAAGAATAATTACAACAAGTTTCAAAAATAAGAATAACAATAATGTACTTAATAAAAACATAACAGCAGGTATTAATTGGCACACATTGAATGTTAAGTGATATAATTAATATGAAATATTTCTACAAATTATAAAGCAAACTGTACACAGTACCTTATTATTATACTGAATACTGTGAGAAAGATCTAAAATACTTTTACACTTAAATTTTTTTCCACTTATTAGAGTTCTTTGGAACTTAAAGAATAGTTAATCTACAGTTCAGTATAGTAATTAATGTTAGATGAAAGTGAGTTTTAGGTGTCAGGATATGAAAGATATGGATCAAATAAAGAAAATATCCCTTGTTGAATTCTGAACATTAATCAAACAATTGCTAGAATAGCTTATGGTATATTTTAATAGATCAGGAATATATAAAATGTTAGCTTTAAATATGCATATAAAATATATTCCTAATACAATTTTTAACCTAACCCAATTTCTACGGACAATTTATCAATCCTTAAAAAGTAGTAGTAATTTATTTGGCATATAAAATATTTTTACACTTCAGACTTTTCAATGAAAACTCCAGTGAAAAAAATTAAGGTTTAAATTCATCATCCACAGATAAAATTTTTTAAGTCCTAAAACTGTGGCTATCTTATGTGGCTGACTGAAATTCCATGTAATAGTTCACTTTATGTAAGAAGGATAAATGTGGAGTTTCTTACCTTGTGATTTCATCATCTCCAAGCATTACTTTTGAAACTGGTGAGTATCTGGATGGTGAAGCTGGTGTCTGGCTCAAGTAGGAAGATGGGCTAATATGGTTATCAACAGGCTGAGAAGAAGCTTCAAAACAAAGAAAGTGAAAAATACTTAAAAAATGAAACAAGTCATATAGCACCCCATCTGTGAATTATTAATTTTAAGGTCAATTAATGTATAATTCATAATTATTCATATATATGATTTATTGGTAGAGATGAATTATTTATCAGGTAAAAAATTAGACAAGCTTAGTTTCCAGGTAATAACTAGTTTAGATACTCAAATCAATAAAGCAACCGTATCCCATCTGGTTTCTTTTGAGAAAACAGACCTAGAAAGGAGTTTTATATTAACTTATTTGCACAATGTAATCCAGGACGGGTCATGTACAAGATTCTCATAGAAAAGATTAAAATAATAGGAAGTACAGTAACTTATTTTTTTTTCTGAATTTATTTTATAGACTAAAAACAAAACAAAAAAACCTGTTGCCGTCAAGTCACTGGGTGGGTTCGAACTGCCAACATTTAGGTTAGTAGTCGATCCTGCAAACTACTTGCACCACCCAGGGACCTATTTTAAGACTACATTTTTAAAAAGCCTATACACTCAAAATTTGTGAATAATGAAACTCAGAAGCTTAAACATAGGTACAAGAAGATCTATAACCCCATAACCAGCTCAGATCTGTCAGCCCGATTTATATCTATTCTTTCCGTAAAAGAATGGAAACCTGGTAAAAAGCAAAAACAAAAAACCAGCAATGATTATCTGTTGGTTCATTTCACTAATAATAAATATCACAGATAGGTTGTCATTCTAGCAAAAGATAAAGACAAGCAAAAGATAAACAAAAAGACAAGCAACAATTACAAAAGCAATTCCTGACTATCCTTTCCAAATACCCAGGTAAGCAACATATTTCAGTTGTAGCTTCCAAAGACACAACTAGTTTGAATCATTTATGAAACACACAGTAAGCAATATTTTACTTTCCTGAGGCTTAAAGTATGATAAACCTACAAAACATTTCAAAATTTAACAGTAATATTTATTATTCAATGAGCAATCTCTTCTTTCATCAAATTATTGAGAGTCCTCTATGCACAAAGCACTATGCTACACATTACCACCGCCACCACCACCAGCTGCTGTCACATCAATTTCAACTCATAGTGACCCTACATGTGTCAGAGTAGAACTGTGCTCCGTTAAGGTTTTCAATGGCTGATTTTTTGGAAATAGATTGCCAGGCCTTTCTTCCATGATGCCTCTGGGTGGGCTCAAACCAACAACTATTTTGTTAGCATCTGAGTGTGTTAACATTTGCACCACCCAGGGTCTCTACGCTACATACTGGAGGTACAATAATGTTGTTGTTGGCTGCCCTTAAGCCAGCCCCCAACTAATGACGACCCCATGCACAACAGAATAAAATGCTGCTTGGTCCTGTGCCATCTCCATGATGGGTTACAGATTGGACCACTGTGATCCACAGGGCTTCCACCGGCTGATTCTGAGGCAATTTCTTCCTAGTCTGTCTTAGTCTAGAAGCTCTGCTGAAATCTGTTCAACACTATAGCAACACACAAGACTCCAATGACAAATGAGTGGTGGCTGTGCATAAGGTGCACTGGCTGGGTATCAAACCTGGGTCTCCCATAAGGAAGAAGAGAATTTTACCACTGAATCACCAACGCTTCCTACAACAACAATAATGTAGGGATCATTAATTCAAATTACTATAGTGGCCGGGTAAGTGACATAAAAAGGTGAAGTAACCTGAGTGAAAGACAACAGGAAATGACTGGAACTATGATGTACTTAAAAAAACATATTTGCTATCAAATGGATGCAGTACCTATACATCTCTATCTGTAATCATACAGAAAGGAATAATTCTATAATGTCTACTGACATTACAGGGCTTGTAGGTCTATCATATTTGTTGATATTATGGGCTGACAGTGCCCAACAACAGTTGTTTCCTGTCCAGTTCATATATAATATGCTCTTTTTTATTTGAGCCAAAGGCCTTTCTACCAACAGTGCTTGACTTTGAACGTCCAAAATCTTTACTGGGTGATATGTAAGAGTACCTGTGATTTTCCAAGAACTGGCCACGCTGCTGTACTGCAAGAGACACCTGTGTAAACTCCCATAATCACTAGCCTTTTTAAGTCCAGAGTTTCCTCTGTTTTGACTCTTAAATTCCTTTGCTGTATTATTATGTTTGGATAGAACAAAAAAAAAAAAAACAATTGGACAGGAATTTCAGTCAAATGCCCAAACCAGAAAATATACCTCTTTCCCTGTCATATCCATACTGTCTCTTTATTCAATGAATACTTTTGCAGAAGTCAATCTCACATGTAAGGCATAGTATCTAAGACATCACAACAGAAACAAAAAACCCAAGCCTGTTGCCATTCAGTTGATTCTGACTCATAGTGACCCCATGTGTTACCAAGTAGAATTGCTCGATAGGGTTTTCTTGGCTGTAATCTTTACAGAAGCAGATCACCAGGTCTTTCTTCTGAAGCACTGCTGGGTGGTCTGAACTGCCAACCTTAAGGTTAGCAGTTTAATGAAACTGCTTGAACCACCCAGGAACCTTTCTAGGACAACAAGGACTAAAAATTAATGTTCCTATCAAAGAATCGGAGCCCTGGTGGCACAGTCGTAAAGCGTTCGGCTGCTAACCAAAAGGTTGGCAGTTCAAATCCACCAGCCGCTCCTTGGAAACCCTATGGGGCAGTTCTACTCTGTCCTATGGGGTCGCTGTGAGTTGGAATCAACTCGACAGCAATGGGTATCAGAGAATGACATCCCCCAAAGAAGGATTAAATAAAACAATACCATTTTTTATACGCCAAATCTCATAGAAAAGATACCCAGAGAATTACACAACAAAGAAGCCTTAGATATCAAGATTAATGACTCAAACCCTCCAAAGTTTGGTACAGAAGAAAGTGGACGAACTTAAAGTAAAAATGGGAAGAGACCTGTTTTGGACTGAACTGTGCCCCCAAAAGTTATGTGCTGTCAATCCTAATCTCTATGCCTGTGGTTATAATCCCATTTGGGAATGAGTTTATCTTTCTTATGTTAATGAGACAGGATTAGTGTAGGGTGTGTCTTGAGTCAATCTCTTACAAGATATAAAAGGAGCAGATTAAGCAAGCAGAGATGGGGGAAGATAGATGCCAGTCTACATGAAGATCACCAAGGAGCCAAAGAACAAGGAGCTTCCCCCAGAGCTGGCAGAGAGAGAAAACCCTTCTCCTAGAGATGGTGCCCTAAATTAGGACGTCTAGCCTCCTAAACTGTGAGAAAATAAATTTTGGTTTTTTAAAGCCACTCACTTGTGGTTTTTCTGTTAAGAGCAGCACTAGATAACTAAGAAAGGACCACTGGCCAAATAAAAATTTTAACAAGGCTTTCCAGCTGAAGAGAATGTAAATTAGAAGAAAGAAGATACATAATTCAAAAACATTTGCATTTTAATATAAGTACATAAACCACGTTCTCTGTCAGACCTACTGGACTTATTTTTGTCTTTCAGCAATAAGCCTGCTTTTATTCCTGGTTATTTTGGTTATTATCCATATTTTGAGTGTCTTCTTTTGGTTACAACCACTGACTGTGACCCTTTTATCTCCTGTGGTTTACAGGTAACTTCTTGAATCTTATCTCTCATGATTCCCTTCACAAACCCTAAATTTTGTATCTAGTACATAATTTGTTTTCCAAGTTTGACTTCTGCTCACTTGCAGGGCTACCTCTGCCAGAACCATTCTCTGCATCAATCGCTGATAATCACACAAACAAATACGATCTAGTCCTCTTTTCTGCTGACATGAGAAGAAATAGAGAATCTTAACAGTCCTGTGTTTGTTAAAGAAACTGGATTCAGAACTAAAAATCTCCCAAATCAAGAAAACTACACGTCTAGGTGTCTTCACTGGTGAATTCAACTAAAAATTTAGGGAAGAAATAAACCCAATTTTACAAAAATTTTCAGAGAACAGAGGAAGAGGGTATGCATCTCAACTCATGTTACAAGAGCAGTATAATAACCATAATATCAAAACCTAACAAGGACAGCACAAGAAAAAGAATTTCAGACATCACCTTAAGTTCACATTCATGAACAAAGATGTGCAACCCTGAAGAAAATATAAGCAATCTGAACCCAGTGATATATAAAATACATCATGACCAAGTATATTCCAGAGATGGAAGGTTGGTTTAACATTAGAAAATAAATCAATGTAATTTACCACATTAACAAGATAAGGTAGAAAAATCATATGATCATTTCACTAGATAAAGGATTTGATGAAATCCAACACTTGGATAACAGAAACTCTTTGTAAACCAGGAATAAAGGTTAACCTTCTTAATCTGATAAAGGGTTTCTACAAAAGATTTACTGATAGCACCATATGCAATAGTGAAATACTGAATATTTTCCTGCAGAGTGTTTGAACTGGAGGTCTTAGCCACTGCAGTAAGACAAGAAAAAAAGAAATGAAAGGTATGAAAATTGGAAAGAAAAAGTAAAACCGCCATTGTTCACAGATGGGAAGGCTGTATACATAGACAACACAAAAGCATCTATAAAATATTAGAATTAATCAGTGAATTTAGCAAGATTGCTGGCTATACAATCAATATAAAAAAACAGTTATATTTCTAATATATCAGTTACAATTAGAAACATTTAAAAACAATACCATTTATAACAGCATCAAGTAGTCAATGAAAGACTAATAGACCTTTACTATACTAAAACATTGCTGAGAAAAAATAAAAAAGACCTAACAATTGGGCAGAGATAGCATGTTCACGGATTGATTGAAAGACACCTTTTTAATCCTCCCTAAATTGATCTATAAGTTCAATATAATTCCAACCAAATTTTTTTATTAAAAAAATTTTTATGCTAAAAGGTTTTGATTCTAAAATTTGTTAAGGAAATCCAAAGGACCTAGAAGACCCAAAAAAATCTTGGTGAATAACAAAACTGATGAATTTACTTTAGCAGAAATCAAGACTTATTATAAAGCTATGGTAATTATGAGTGTGATATTGGCACAAAGACAGAAAAATAGATCAATGGAACAGACAAGTCCAGAAACAGACTCATACATGTATCGTCCACCTAATACATAAAAAAAGTACTACCTGAAACAGTGAGGGAAAGAATGACCTTTTCAATAAAAGCTTAGGTATATTAAAAAATAAATAAATAAATAAAAATTAAATCAAAATAGATCACAAATCTAAATGTGAAAGTTAAAACAATAAAGCTTCTAGATGTTCTTTATTACCACGGCACAGAAAAAGATTTCAGTGGGTCACTAAAAGCACTAATAATGAAAGACTGACAAGTTGATTGCATTAAAATTAAGAAATATTATTCATCAAAAAGCACCATTAATAGAAAAACTGGGTGAAAATATTTGCTGTAGATATAACTGATGACAGAGTCATTTCTTTTTTTTAATTGTGCTTTAAGTCAAAGTTTACAGTTCAAGTCAGTTACTCACATAAAAATTTATACAGACATTGCTATGTGACTCTAGCTGCCTTCCCTATAATTTGACAGCACATTCCTCCTTTCCACCTCAGATTTCCCATGTCCATTCAACCAGCTCCTGACCCTCTCTGCCTTCTCATCTCACCTCTGGACAAAAGCTGCCCATTTAATGTCATGTATCTACTTGAGCTAAGAAGCACTCTCCTCACGAATATCATTTTATGTCCCACAGTCCAGTCTAATCTTTGTTTGAAGAGTTGGCTTCGGAAATGGTTTCAGTTCTGGGCTAATGGAGAGTCTAGGAGCCATGTCTTCCAGGATCCCTCCAGTCTCAGTCAGACCATTAAGGACAGACTCATTTCTAAAATACATAAAACTTCCTTCAAATCAGTAAGAAAAAGACAGACAAACCAGGAGAAAAATGGAGAAACAATTCAACATCTCACAGAAGATGACAGCCAAAGTTGTCAACGAGGATATGCAAAGGTGTTGAAGATCATTAATCAACAGGGAAATTGAATAAAACCACAACAAGATGGCTCTATACAGCCACCATAATTTCCACAATTACAGCAGATCTAACAAGCTAGTAAGATGGAAGTCTGAATAATGGTTACCTTTGGAGTGAGGGTATCGATTCAGAAGGGACTTACGGGAGCCTTCTGTGATGCTAGAAACGTTTTCTATTTTGATCAGGATGATGGTTACAAAGGTGCATACATTATACAAAAGTTCATTAAGCTGAACTCTTAAAATCTGTGCCCCTTACTACACGTTAAGTTTTACTTCAATAAAAAGTAAAGTGAAAAAAAGTACTGAAAGATATAAATCAGACCAAAATAAGTGGAGATATATCATATTCATGGACAGAAAGACCCAGTATTATAAATATGTCAGTTCTCTCTGGACTGGGAAAGAGCCATACTCTTGCCTATTTCAAAGAAAGGCAATCAAATGGAATGCAGAAATTATAGAGGAATATCATTAATATCACATGCTAGTAAAATTTTGCTAAAGATAATTCAAAAATGACTGCAACTGTACATTGACAAGGAACTGCCCGAAGTTCAAGGCGGATTCAGAAGAGGATGTGGAATGAGGGTTATCACTGCTGACGGATCTTGGCTGAAAGTGAAGATAACCTGAAGCACTTACTGATGAAGGTCCAAGACTACAGCCCTTGATATGAATTATGACTGAGCGTTAAGCAAACAAAAATCTTTATAACTGAATTGATAAACAAAATTATGATGAATGGAGAAAAAACAGAAGTTGTCAACAATTTACTCTACTTGGATCAACTATCAGTGTCCATGGAAACAGCAGTGAAGAAATCACGTGACGTATTACATTGAACAAATATGTTGCAAGAGACGTCTTCGAAGTTTTAAAAAGCAATGACTAAGGTGTGCCTGACCCAACCCATGGTCTTTCAGTCACCTCATATGCATGTTAAAGCTGGACAGTGAAAAAGGAAGATAGAATTATTGATACATTTGAATTGTGATGTTGGTGAAAAATACTGAATAGTCCGCAGATTGCCAAAAGAAGAAACAGATCAGTCTTAGAAGAAATATAACCAGAATGCTCCTTAGAAGTGAGGATGGCGAGACTTTGACTCTCTTACTTTGGAAACATCATCAGGAAAGACCAATCACTAGAAAAGGGCATCATTTTTGTAAAACAGAGGTTCAGTGAAAACTAGGGAAACCCTCAGTGAGATGGATGGACATATCTGTGACAATGACTTACTCAAACAGTGCCAATGATCATGGAGATGGCACGGGACTGGGCCACATTTTGTTCTATTACACACAAGATTGATGTGATTATTTAATCACTACTCTTTAGGAATAGGTCTTCCATTTTTTAATGTCATATTTTTACATATAAAAGAGACAATTCAATTAAAAAGTTAACATTTTTCTCAGTTCAACAGTTTTTTAAGAAGCATATTTGGCCATAATCAGGGCAACAATTCTCAATTCATGGAACAACTGTCACAAATGTACACACATGGTTGTTTTGAACATACAGCCAATACGACACTTCAAGTAGTAAAGAAAATAATTTATTACTAAATTTGCATACTTCATCACAAATAGAAATAAACAAAGCCCTTATATAAAGTTTGTGTTCAAGACCAAGTGTATGTAAGAATTTTAAACAAGTAGTAAAATCCTTTCCTGTGACACAAAAGAAATATAAGACACCAACCCTGTTCATTAGAGAAGCTAAAAGGAAATAACTCAGTTATACTTGGGAAATTAATGAATTAATGAGCAGATAATAAAGATATTATTGGAAGACAGTATATACATTTCCAAATACAATCTGTATTTATTATGATTAGTGATGGCAATGAACTGTGACAGTTTTAAAATTGGAAAATACTGGTATTATAAAATTATAGATATTTCTAAAATTCTGTAATTTATAAAGCAAACACTTGGGAAAGCAGATTAGAAACAGTACATTTAAGATCTCACAGGTAGCTTTTAATATCAACCCAGTGCACAGAACAAATGAGGTTTTCATTTTCAACCAACACTAACATATTAAAACACATTTAAATCTCTTTTCAGCTTGGACATTAATCAAATAGGAAACCTGGAAGCATTTAATACCAATTCAATTCTACATAACAAAATTGTAAACAAATATAGTTAGGCAATCACTAAGAGCTTAGAGTACAAAGATAATTTTTGTCCTCAGATAGCTGAGAGTACAGAAGTATTTACACATGAATTTTGAAAAGAAAGCCTTTAAGTTTTAAAAATATTTAAAATCAGTGTTTCTCAAAGTACAGTCCATGAACTAGCAGTACCAGAAGCATCAGATTATCTGAGTGCTTGTTAATAAAAATTGTTGTGTGCCACAGAAAACTACTCAAACAAAATAAGACTCTACATTATTTGTAAATACCCTTTGGGGACTGTTATTTACAATGCTTTAAATATTAAAAGAAAATATTGCTATAAAGTAGTAAAGGTGAAATAGGACTCTTCTTATTAGAAAGACTTAGACTTAAAATTGAGTTTTAACTATTAGGCTAAAATGCTTAATTTTTATAATTCTTAAACTTTATATTGATTGTTGTTCATTTCTGTGCATCTAAGGAAATACAAATTTAAGCAGACTTACAGTTGGTGATATCAGGTGGTGCATAGCCATCATTCATATACATACTTGTAGGTTTTGCCACTTTCAAGAAAACAAAATCAGATGTGTTCTTTAAGGCAGTTACGGCTTCTTCATGAGTAACTTCTTCTAAACATACACTGTTCACCTAAAAGAAAATCCCAAAAAGACATTTAAGATTTTTTTTTCACTTGCGTCCTGTTATTTGGTTATAAACAATTACACCAAAAGGCAGAGAGGGAAAATGAAGGAATGATTTAAAGAACATAAAGGTGTGTAGAAAGAAAAAACCCATTTTATTGCCTAAGAAGGTTGTTACAACTCAGAATCGACCTGATGGCAACGGGTAAGATAATATCAGGACATACATGTGAAGTTGTTTATGTATGTTAACAGAAACTGGATGACAGCTCCTATTCCTACGGTTTCCCCAGCCTGACCATCCTCCCACTTTTAAGCATTTAGGAATTGTGTAGATATATTTTAGTTTTTGTTTTTTTTTAAAAACAAATGACACCATATTCAAGTTTCTGTTCTGCAACTCGATTTTTAATATATCTTAGAGATTTTTCCATACTGGGACATGTAGAATTACCTCATTTTAAAAACTTGTTTCATAGCATATTATTATTTATTAAATCATTTCCATGTTAATAGATCTAACTTGTTTCTAATTTTTGTATTTATAGGATATGCCAATGAATATCCTTGTACATTCTTCATTATGTACATGTGTATTTTAGATGGCTAAGTTCTTTAGGTATAGAATTGCTAACTCAAAGGGCGTACGCATTTTCTACTTAAATGGATGGTTAACCTTAACCCTGACCCTGTAACAAATTTACACTCACTGCAACACAGTGTGAGTGTGCCTACTGACTTAGACTCTTGCCAATGCTGAATATTATCAATTTTTAAGTGTATAAAATGATAAATGATGTTTTAATTTGTATATGAATTATCTTTAAGTTTTACTTCCATCATTAATAGTCAAATTGTGGATTTTTTCAAGTCATATGTTTGAGTCAACTTGGAAGTGGATCCTTTAGCCTTAGTCAAGCCACCCCAGCTGCTACCATGTTGAGAAGAGACGAGCTGTCCCTGCCAGGCCCTACCCAAACTGCAGAATTGTAAGCAAATAAATGATTGTTGTTATTTTAGCCTCTAAATTTTGTGTTTTCTTATGCAACATTAGATAACTGATACAAGAGGTAACAAGATTTGCTGAGGGATTCAATGTGGAGTGTGAAAGAGTTCTGGACCCAGGCAACTGGAAGGATAAAGTTCCTATTTACTGAGACATGAAGACTGCAACGAGCAGGATGTGGCAGGGGTAAGGGTGAGGTGGGGAATGAGAAGTTCAATTTTGGATACATTAAATTTGAGATGACCACTGAAACATCCAAGTGGAGACTAGATGAGATCTTCTAGGACACTGCTTTTCAAATGTTCTGATAAAAATCACTGTTAAAAAATGCCTGTATCTAGCCTAAGACAAAACGTGCGTGTATGTAAAAGTAAAACTGAAGTTTCACAAAACAATACTTATCCCATTAAGCTTTCTGACCACCTATCATTGAGTCTTGACCTAGTTTGAAAAACGGTTGATGTAGGGAGTGCGCACTGGCAGAGAAGAACAAATGTACAAGGACTGAGCCCCGACTCATTGCAGTGTTGAGAGATGTTAGGGAGATAAGGAGGCACCAGCAAAGAAGAATGAGGAGCGGCAGGAGGAACACAAGTTAGTGACTGTTAGGCAAAATGAATAGTGTTTGAAAAAGGAGAAAAGGTGTCAAATGCTGGATAAGTCAATTAATTGAGGATGGAAATTGATCTGTTCAATGGAATTATGGGAACAAATGCCAGACTAAGTGGATTCAAGAGAGAACAAGAGTCCTGCCAAGATGGTGAATCAGCACAGTTTGCTGGCTCCCTATCACCAAAACTGATTATGGAGAAACCATGAAGGAAAACATGGTATCTAAGAAATAAAAAAATAATAGTGAGAAATCCACTAGAGACAGAAAAATGTTTTGAATCCGCGTGTGTATGTGTGTAGGAGGTTCATAGTGAGGTGGGAAGGTGTGGGTTGCAGCTTGGGGAAAAGAGTGACAAGTAACAGGTGTGAGGGGATAAGTTAGAGAAAGTAATTCACGTTCTGCTCTTTCCTCTTCCCCATCATTAACTCAAAACAATGTCTGCCTCGATGCCACATAACAGGAGTAATGAAAAGGATGTAGTACAAAGGAATCTTTTATATATTGCTGATGCGTGAATTTTTACAAGTGGTTTGGAAAACAACTGAATGTTATTTACAGCGCTACTAATAGCATACTCCACGATCCAGTAAATTCTATGCATAGGTAAATACGCAAATGAAACTCCTGCACATGATCATTAGAACACACAGCAGCTTTTTCTAGAATTACTTATAATACCAAAAAAGTAGAAATAACTCAACCTACGACTGTACCAGAACAGACCCAGTTTATGTGCCTCCTCAGATTCACCTGCGACCACAGCCCCCTAGCCTTGGCTGCTTTTACAGCTGTCCTCACCTTGTCTCCTACTATGACCAGTTCTCTCAGGCTCTTCTGGAGTAAAGGCTGGGCTTGGGCATGGTGGACGTGCTCCACATAGGGAGAGTCATAGCATCTCAGGAGCTCATGTCTGACCTGTCCAGATCACCGAGGCTCTAGCTCTTTTCACCATTTTTTTTAGTTCAAGTGAAGTGCTGTGCCACAGAGTGTGGGAGTAGGCTTCCCTAACAGTTGCCCAGATTTGGGGCAGTTAACCCCCGTAGGGCAGACTCTAACTAACAAGAGATAGGAGACTAAAAGGGTCCAGGAGATAAATCCTTCTCTTTTCGCTCCCGGATGGCTAGATCCAAGGGATAGTGGTTCTACATTAGCTGTCTGGAAGACTGTCCTATATGATAAGCAACTGGCTGTATTTTCTTGCAAAGTTACAGACAGCTCAAAACATAAAAACTTGTATTGGCTTTCCCTCATTCCCTGTCCCATTTTCTATTTTCACTCACTCCTGAATCCCTGGGGTCACACCTCCCAGTAAAACCTGAGCACATTAACTTTTCTTTGTGTTCTGAGTGAACAACTATCTACTGAAAAATGGATAAACTGTGGTTTATTCATCACAGAGATGAAATGAAAGAACTTCATTTAGCTCTAGGTAAAAATATGAACAAGTCTTAGTAAAATGATACTGAGTAAAAAAGCAAGTGTAAAAAGACTACATATAGCACAATAAGCTTTTACAAAATTTCAATACAAATAATACTAAAAATACTTAGGCACATGTGATTAAATAATTTTTTAAAAGCAAAGGAATGAGAACACAAATTATTGATGTTATTGTTCTTGGGCTGGATAATGAGTTTACTAGTTTACATGGTATAAATAAAAAAATAAGTAAATTAAATTAAAACAAATGAGGGTCATGCATGAACAAACAATGACAGTGTTATAAGTCTAAGGATTATGATTCAGTTAAAGGATTATGATATAAATTCCATATATCTGAGCATCCCCCACTTCAACAAAAGGAGATGTAAAAGAAAATAAAACCAAAATGACCAAAAGAAAAAGAGTGGCGCTAGGACAGGAAATGGCAAATAAAGCTATACCAAGAATCATTTTTCAGGTTTGACTAAAGCAAGGTTAGTAGTCACTCATTTAATATTTTCTAGTAGTATGTAGAAATTTTAAAGTCTGTCAGAAAAAAATAGGCATCAAAATGTAAAAAACAATAGACTTCTTATACTTACTGCTAAAAGTTTATCTCCAATTTGAAGTCTGCCATCTTTATGTGCTGCACCTCCTTCAATTATTTTGGTTACATAAATACTATTATCCCCAGGAATATGTTGATTTCCAACACCACCAGCAATGCTGAACCCAAGACCTGCTTGGAAAATACCAGTTTTAGATTCTCATCAATAAATGTAAGCTTAAGCCCAGAAAGAAATGACTGATAATGAGAAGGTCATAATTTCATCACATTAATGTTTTTTTAAAATAGAAATGATCTATCTAGCTATCTATTTTTTTAATCCTAGGTATCTATTCTGCAATTGGAGACAATTATAGGCACTCCTAAAGTTATATATAGGTTCCTTAAAAAAAAAAAAATTTCCCAGGCCCCTTCTTAAAGTCTGTTTATAAATACATGTGTTTGTTAGTTCAGAGATGTTATAAATTATGAAAAATTGTTTTACTTTTGTTTCCAGCATAACTGTACTTCTTAGCAACACTTTTAATACCATCAAGATTAAAATAATTGAGAAAAAAACAATAAAATTATCAATTGGTGGTATGCAGAACTGATAAGGCTTTAGAAATGGTATATACCTTTGTTTTTTTCCCAATATTCTGTGAATTAACAATTTCAAATAAAGAATTCTTGTAACCATAAATCTCTTAGCTTCAATACTAGACAAATTTCAGTTCTCTATTCTTTTTTTTTTATTTGTTAAACTTCTGAAAGCCCACCTCTTCCATGAAGCCCCGTATTAGAATCAATATTTCCATTTACTCTAAATACCACGTTTTCAAAATTTAGAAATCACATCTTAACAGTCGTCACTGCAGAAGAAACTGCTCATAATACACCCATATATACTTTCCTCTTTTAACTTAGCCTGTATACCTGCATTAAATGTGCTTTGTAGAGAAATGATTATAATATCAACACTATATTTCAAAGTTCAAGGGTAAGAATAATCTCTTTTAAAGTTAGAAGTCTTTCACACAATGGTACTTAATACAATCAGGGACAAACTAATTTATAAATAAGTAGAGATTTTGTTTCCTGCTTTTTAAAGTTATTAAAGATATGTTATGGAAATTTTAAACACAAAAATCACATGGAACTTATTCTTAAATTACAAAATTTATATATGATCACTGTAGTAAAATGTATGTAAAGTATATATAGACTACCATAAGGAACTTTTAAAAAGCTGGAATCTTGGTAGAAATGCAAACATTCTGGAATTCTACTTAAGACAAAATTCAGTAAAAATGACGCAAAAATTATAAATATTCCCACAAATTCTGTAGCTGATGTGTCATAAATAAGTTCATAGTTACATTTACCTCAGAGGTTTCTTACTTAATAATTTGTTTTAGTTTGATTTATCACACACCTTTAGGACCTTTAATGAGCTTTATTTCCGTTATTTTTTCTGATACCGGTTTCCGTCTTTTTACGTACAAGCGTACGATAGATCCTGCCTCCTTCAATGCTTCAACTGCTTTGCTATGTGTTACATCACGGACATCTACTTCATTTACTCGCAATATACAGTCATTGACCCTGAGGAAAAAAAAAATAATAAAAAGACAATTTTAAACACCGATTTTTTACTTTGCCAATTTTTTCTTGGCATCTTTATTTTTAATATAAAGAGAATATTTACTCCAGAAGATATAAAGAAACTGCATGTTGAATTCCAATGTATTAAATACTAATATCAATAAATATAAACATTTCCCAGGGACCAGCAAAAGGAGGGAAAAAAAAGAAAAGTGTACATAATAGATTATCACACAAAAATTTTTTTAAGTTATTATTAGTATTTTTTTATTGTTGTGCTTTAAGTGAAAGTTTATAATTCGAGTTAGTCTGTCATACAGAAATTTATACAGACATTGGTATGTGACCCTAGTTGCTCTCCCTATACTATGACAGCACACTTCGCCTTTCTACCCCGGATTTCCTGTGTCCATTCAACCAGCCCCTGACCGTCTCCTGCCTTCTCATCTCACCTCCGGATAGGAGCTGCCCATTTAGTCTCATGTATCTACTTCAGCTAAGAAGCACACTCTTCACGAGCATCACTTGATGTTCCACAGTCCAGTCTAATCTTTGTCTAAAGCGCTGGCCTCGGGAATGGTTTTAGTTTTGGGCTATCAGAGAGTCCAGGGGCCATGTCTCCCAGGGTTACACAAAATTCTTACATTAAGTAATAACAATGACCATTTGTATGCTTATTTTACGCTTACTATGTGGAGGCATTAAGATACTTCACAAAAATAGCAAGCATCTTATTGAGCACTAAACACATGCCAGGCACTTCTTTTGGTGTTTTAACCCTGACAATAATCTATAAGGGAGATACTTATTTTTAACCCCATTTTACATGTGGAGAAACTGAGGCACAAAGAGTTTAAATAACTTTTCCAAGGCCACCTGGTAAAAGTGAAAGAGCTATGATTCAAAGATAAGACAACTGACGGCTCAGGCAGATTGAAAAACTAGTTTAAGGTCACTGAGTTAACCACTGGCAAACTGGAGCCTTCTCTACCCTAGATACCACAATTAAAAGAATGGAATTATTTCTTGAAATTTATACATGTTAATAATTAGGTCATTTAATTCAAAGGTTTCTTACGTAAGTAATTTATCTTAATTTGACATAGTAATACATTTTTAAAAAGTCTGATTAGCCCTAACCTTCCCCCCAGCTTACTGGTCTCAGTTTTTACTGCATGGTATTCCATGGGGGCGGGGAGGGATAGTCATCTCAAATTGGCAGGGAGGGGGAACACACACGATCAAAATATTAAAACTGGCCTCAATAAGCTTCTTTACTAATTAACTTCCCTTGGAGGAAAGAAATTCTATACTCAGTGATACTTTAGATGTTAGTACCATGTTTTTTAGTGAAACAAATGGAATGCAGTAATTTTCACATAAGTGGCACAAATAAAACAGTCAGGGACAGAAACAGGATGCAAATGTCAACATTTACACGAATGGTCAAATTACTAATTTCTATATCTAATTAATTTAATAACTATCTGTCATATTCATTGAGAAGTTTAGAAACTGAGGAGCTGCATAAGGTGACGACAGCCTGAAATAAGATGCTGACTTAACAGATCATATACAATCCTTAGCCCTAAAATGGTCAGGCTGCCACCATGTATAAAAAAACAACACATAGGAAAAGTACCATAATCTATCGCCTAAGGAAACAACAAAGTATTCTAAAGACATGTTCCAAAATGGAACACTAAATTTAAATAAGAGGTCAATGTTATTTTTCATCTACTCAATTAAGAAAATTTATTCATTTATTTAAAGTTTGCATATATTTTATTCTTTCTGGTATGGGATACAAGTTCAGATATACATGATCTCCTGTGTCTTTAAGTTTACATAAATGTTTCTCACACATAAAAGAAATGGAAAACATGTTGAGAATGCATTTGAAAACAGAAATGGAAACCTATGATTTCTATAAATCTGCTCACAAGCATTTAAACTATCAATCAAAATTATTATTCAAAATGCTGAATTCCTAAATGAAAAGAGGGAGACATGCTTAGACCACAATTATCCCATTCACTCATTTGAAGGTTGTCTGAGCATCCAGTCTATGTTAGTTACTACTATGATAGTGTTTATTTGTATTTATCTGTTACCCAGTTTGCTTTAAGAAAAACATACAAAGTGGATTCACCATCACAACATAAAGTGCAAAACATACCGCAATCTTCCATCTTGAGCGGCTGCTCCCCCTGCAATAATTTTGGTAATGAAAATACTTGAGTCATCTCCAATGTGTGGGTTGTCTGTACCTCCTGCAATGCTGAAACCAAGCCCTGAATTCCCCTGAGGAGAGAGGAAAAGAAAAATCTAAGACAGAGTATCAGAAGATACAACTTGATGAAATTCAATAGGGCATGTAATTATGAAAATAATGTACGGACTACATATGTATTTAAAAAAAAAACAAAACCACTCCAAAGCATAATAGAAATGATCTTTATTGACAGGCTCCTGTCCTGATAAGAGCTGGAAATGGCACTAACACAGGAACCCACAAAGTGTGAGTGTGGGGACTATGAAGATTGTAAATTAAGAAACGGACATCCCCTTATAGAAGGAAAGTTCTTGTTTCTCTAGGAAGAATTCAGCGGCATTACTGTTGAGGTTGAAGAAAACGTACTGAGTACTTTTGAAGTCAAATCTATGGCTGTTTCTTCAAAAGTATGTGCAATCTGTCCTTTGATTAGTCACCATGTTGCAGAGCTATCACTACAATTTCCTTCTTTACGCTAAACCCCACCTATATTCGGTAAGACAAATCTTTCTTATGAGAAAAACCCTGAAGTGATTTGTCTACTGCTATTATTTCTCAGTAGGTAAAACCAATATATTATTTCAGCCTTTTGAAAAAGGGAGTTGCTTCTGCCATCAGCTATTTTAAAATAACCTAACTGTAGCTGCTAAATGACAGCTACCATCTATCCTTGACATGTTTAGCCAATATACTTGACTAGTAAAAGTTAATCATTTTTTCATACTGAAAGGCCTAACTTGAGAACTTAACATTGATGAGCTTTCTTCGTAGCAAAGTAAATTTTGCCACAGTAGCTCTATGTTTTGTTTGTTTTATATATAGGATTTCTGAAAAATATTTTCTTTGAAGAAAGAATTTGCTGTTACAAAAAGTCTTTAAAAAGAATTTTTCTAAGCAATGGTATAAAAAAATAAACATTTTTTTTTTTTTTGCAAGAATTTCTGACTTTCAGGGAACTTAAATAAGTGGATATATCTGGACCTATTACATAACTGTTAGTATTAAATATGGTCATGCACCACCTAACGTATTTTCGGGCAACGTCTGACCACATATATATCTGTGGTCCTGTAACGCTATAATAAAGTTCAGAAATCCTAAAGGGAGAACAAGATGTACTAGATTTAGGCATGTCACACTTCACGATCCCAAGAATTCTTAAAAATAAAGAAAAAAATTCTCCAAGCTATTAAAGGACTGGCTCCACTGAAAGCTACAAGGCTAACGAAAATGCGAGAGGAATCTGTATCAGATATGGAGAAATTGCTAATGATGTGGATTGAGGACCAAACACAAAAGCAAATTCCTCCTAGCATGCTGATGATCACTGCTAAGGCACGAAGCTCGTCTGAGATACTTAAAGAAAAAGTAGGACCAGACTACAATACTGAGTTTAGTGCTAGCTCTGCGTGGTTCAAGTGCTTCAAATAATGTGAGTGGAGCGTCTGCGAGTGCTGATGCAAAGGCAGCAGAAGAATTTGTTGAAACTGTAGATAAACTAATTGTAGAGGGAGGCTGTTTGCCCCAGCAAATTTTTAGTATGGACAAAACCTTATTATTCTGGAAAGGAATGCCTGAAAGAACCTTCATCCATAATATGGTGTTTATACAACGTCCAAAGCACATAACATCCTAAGCAATATGCAACTGTAGTCTAAACACCCACTCTACCATGATTTGTCCTAAAATCCTATTTAATTGAAGAATATATTTTCAGTCTCAACTGTTTAAGAGTTACTAGAGTTTCAATAATAGTATCAACAAATTACGTGAGGTCATCAAATAACTCAGGTATTTATATTTTTTAATCAGTGACTCATAGCGACCCTAAAGGACAGAGTAGAACTGCCCCATACGGTTTCCAAGGCTGTAAATCTTTATGGAAGCAGACTGCCACATCTTTTTCCGTGGAGCACCTGGTAGGTTCAAACCGCCAACCTTTCAGTTAGCCGCAGAGGGCTTAACCACTGTCCCACCAGGGCTCCTTTAAGAATATTAAATACTTAAATAATTTATCAATATTGGTTCATTAGCTGAGACAAATGCAAAATAACTACAGTGATCTAAGACGTTAACAACAGGGGAAACTAAGTCCAGGGTAAAATAGGAACTCTCTACTATCTTTACAATTTTCCTGTAAACCTAGAACTATTTTAAAATAAAAAGTTTATTTAAAAAAAAAAAAGTTATTAAAGAAAAGTAGCATGTTCTGAAAATGTTAAGGCTAATTTTATTATCTGTGAATTTATAAATGAAACCAACATTACATGATTCTTTTATAGAAAGATCTCCCTTGAATTCCATATGAAAGAGCAGCACATTTAAGGAGTTCTTTAAAACAACAGATTTATGCATAAAAAACAAGATAGTTAATAGTTTTTACCCTTTCAAGTGTGATTTCTTCATATTCATAGTCTGCATCAGTACCATTAACCTAGTGGAGGGAAAAAGAAGCAGTTCAGAAATTCAGAGCGTAAAGCTGGAAATGGCAAGACATAATTTTTGCATATTTATTACTGTTGTGATAGTAATTAAATTAAAAAACAAAAACAAAAACCCACCAGGTGTCATGGAGTTGATTCCGGTTCATGGCAACCCCATGTGTTGCAGAGTAGAACTGCTCTCTAGAATGGTTTTCAATGCTGTGACCTCTCAAGAGTAGACTGCCGGGCCTTTTTTCTGAGATGCCTCTGGGTGGGTTCTATCTGCCAACCTTTCGGTTAGTAGCTGAGTGGCTAACTGTTTACACCACCCAGGGACCAGTTTCATTGTAATAATTTCAGGGAAGATTTTATAAAGTTAACTTCAGAATAATCAAATGTTTTTCAAGGAATGGAAGAGGACAAATGTGACCAATGAGTTGACATTCATTGTATCATGAATTTCAAATATAGAAAGGATACATTCAGTTTTTATTATTACTGAACTCTTCCCTTTCATCTATACATCTAATCAGTTGCCAACTCTTACTGATTTGAGTAATTCAATTTTTCTGAAAACCATTAGCTCTTCATTCTCATTTCTATTACCTTGGTTCAAGGCCCTTGTTTACCTTCCTTTGGATATTGTTAATGCAATCTACCCCACTGCCCAAATCATTCCGTGTTTTAAACAGACATATCGTCTTGAAGCCCATGTTTAATACACCAAAACTTTCAGAAACTTTTTAAAAAACATTTTGCCTTGGTAATCAAGGATCTCTATGAACTGACCCCAATCTATCACTTCAGCTTCATTCCTAACATCCATATCTTACCTCTTCACACACCTGACATACCACGCAGTTTGAATGACTTGTTCTTTCCTCTACATACGCTGCAGTTTCCCATTTCCATAATTGTGTTACATTAGTGCGTCCTCTCTCACAAATGTCACTTAGAGATTTCATGTACAAACCTGATTCACTATTCAAGATCTTGCTCAAACCTTATAGTCCTGACTAAATAAAACGAATTGAAAAGGCACTGGGAAAGGATGAAAAACGAATACCCTTATTCCTTACAATTTATTTCCTATTCCCTTCTGGAAAAAGTAACTCCCACAGTGAGGGCCACTAGTGAAATGTAAGAAGTCACTAGAATCAGATTAGCCCGGGTTCGAATCCATGCTTGAATATTTCTAGTGATATGAGGCTGGGCAAAATACTCAATCTAAGTCAAATGGGGTTGTGATAAACTGGATTTCAAAAGGTGCATTACATCTTCCACCCACCATGCTCTTTTGCAGTATGAATGAATCACCCCACCATCAAGAGGTAGAGTTTATTTCCCCTGACCCTCAAGGGTCACTGAGTCAGAATCGACTTGACGGCAATGGGTTTGGTTTTGGTTTTTTTGGTCCCCTGGATCGAGGCAGGCCCTGTGACCAGGTTTGGTAAAAAGAATGTGGTACGTGCAATACTGTATGATTTCTGAGATTAAGTCATATGATGCCTTGTAGTGCTCACTTCTGTCTCTTAGAATGCACTTTCTTAGAATTCAGCCACCATAACGTGAGGAAGCCCAAACATCCTAAGGAGATCGAAATGAAGGAGAACCAAGGACCTTGGCCAGAAGCCCCAGCTGTGTTCCTAACTAGCAACCAGCCATATAAATGAGTTTTCTGGGATCTTCCAGCCTTTTGCAAGAGCCCCAACCAAGAACACCTGAAGTGGAAGAATTATCTAGTTAATAGAGAAAATCATGAGAAATGATAAATTGCTGTTCTTTTAAGCTACTAAGTTTCAGGATGGTTTGTTATGCAGCAATAGATAACCACAATAGAAACAATGAATTTTATATGAATTGCTCTGCTATCTTCAGTGTATTATAGGAAAGCGATCCTAATTCAGGCCCAGTCCAGGTTCTGGGAGTTTCTTCCGTGAGTGTTTTTGAAACTCATCTTAGCTACCCTTTTGGGTTCTTAGTTCTTGTGGCTTTTGTGAATTCAAAATACAGTTACCACTTTGTTTCTCTTCCTTCTTGCCTGAGGAGATTTTCCTCTTGTTTTGAAATTACATATTATAAATGCATTTATATATATTTGTAATATCTATTATTTCTGTGCATCTAGACTAGAGGAGGATAATGTATGTGCATATCTTGCCAACTTGAGTAGAAGTCCATTTTTACGATTGAAAAAAAAATCCATATCTGCAGCTACACTTCCCTTTCTTATTTTAAAGGTTATTTGTATCATTATTTTTTCTTGCTCAAACTTGCTAAAAGTCCATCAGTATTTTACAAAGCAGTAGTTTCAACAATACTGATGGCTATATTATATTCTATGTCATTACTTTCTTCCTTTTTTTTTTTTTTTAAATCAATTCCTGATTCTTTCTTTAGGCTTTTTTGTTTTTTAACGCTTCTTGAATTGAATGCTTAATTCATTTACGCTTACTCTTATCTGTTTTTAAAAATATCCATTTAAGTTTAAAAATTTTCTTTCGTCATCTGGCTTTGGTAGACTCTCACAATTGCTATACTGGGCTCTCTTTTTGTTCATTTGTTTATTTCTAAATAGTCTGCAATTTTATTCTGGAAAACATTTCCAAATAACTGTGCTTATATAGGCCTTTTGGTGTTAGTATGTAAATTTTGTGTATTATGGTCTTATGATTTCTCCTTTTAGGAATTTAAGATTTTCACCATTAAAACTTCTCACAAGATAAGTACTTAGTAGATGCCCTTGGAGCTTAATTTAATGTCAGGTCATAATATATTGACATCTGGGTGAGGTTTCCAGGTAGCATAGAGAGATTTAAAAAAAAAAAAAGATGAAATGTGACTAAGAGGTCTTGTGAACCCTGAATGCTTTTATTCCAAAACTCTCATTAACTTGAAATTGTGTGAAAATTCCAAAAATATATAAAGAATTCAATAACTACACTGAACACATTCACACTGGGCTTCTAAGGACAGAGAGTACATTACTGAAAGCACAAATTACTCTAAAAGTACCACTTTATTAACAGTAAAAGTGAGAAGAACAATGGTAATGTGGTATTTTTAAAAACAATTATGTTCTCCAGCAAAACTATACAATGGTTGGTTTGTCTATAGTTTAATCTTTATAATATCTTTATAAAATGTGGCTTCCAATAAGAAAGAAATGCGTGGCTGAAGAGTTTATTACTTTCAATCAACAAGACAGAGTGAGGGATAAGGTGGGACCGGAGAAAAGAGTAAGAGTTCAATCTTTAGATAAAATGAATACACTACTGAGAAAACATACGGTTATTTCTTTTCTCTTTGAAAATGAGAATGGATTTAGAATAGTTCTTGAGAACACTTGACAGTTGGAGAAGTGTTACTGCTAGTATTTGCTAGGGTTTGAATCTAGTCCTATTAATAAAATGGGATTCTGTGTAGAGGGTGGTAGCTTGAGAAGAAGCTAGATGTAAACTGGGGTCTGACTGTGAAAAGTCTTGAATGCTTTCATAAGGAGTTAAAAAACATATGGAGTTCTTAAAGGTTTCTGAGTATCAAATAGGTTTTCAAAGAAAGAACTATGGTAGTAGAAAACAGAAATGAAGAGAAATTAGAGGGAAAAAAATTGATAAATTGTCAATAGTCCAGTAAAAAACAAAGATTCTAAAGATATTTAAGAGTAGGTGTCAAGTTCCTAAATATGCGGGGGGAAGAATCCTAATATTACCGGGGAAAAAACCCACAAAGCCATATAACTGAGAAAACTAAGGTTTAATAAACTTGACCAGGAAAAATAATCAGATTATACAACATGGATCAAAAGTAAATTGTACTCCACTGATCTAATTGAACTACGTTGCTTTAATTATTGATGTTTTATAATATGTTTTACTCTCTAAGCAGGGAAATCCTCCACAATCACTTTCATTTTCAATTTTACTTGGCTGTTCTTGAGTGTTTACTTTTCTATATCAACACTGTCCAACAGAACTTTCTGCAATGATAGAAATGTTCTATGATCTGCACTGTCCAATACAGTAGTTACCAGTCACATACAGCACTTGAAATGAGGCTAGTACAACAGAGAAACTGAAGTTTTAAATTTTATTTAATTTAAACAGCAACACGTGGTTAGTGGCTACTGTATTCGATGGTGCAACGCTAGATGAATTTTTCCATTAATTCCAACCTTACCCTCCAAAACACTCACACACATACCATTTTAGGGGCTGTGACTGGTACTATACCAGATTTACAGATTAATCTGGGGAAAACAGAAGATCTTTACACTATCTTTCTGCTCAGCAACAAGGTATGCTCTCACTTACTTAAGTATTCTTTCACGCCACTCAGTAAAGTTTTATAGTTTTCTTCCTACGAACTCTGTACCTGTCTTCTAAGCTTATTGTTAGGTATATCATATTTTTGTTCACAGAGTTGATGAGCTCATATTTCCAACTGGTTGTTGCTAGTATAATGGAATAACATTTATTGTTTAACTTTTAAAGTGTTTCAGTTTTTCTCTTTAATATAATTTTGCTTTAATTATGGGTACATATATGTCATAAATCAGCAGAGAAATTTATAACACGATATCCTCAGTCCCCTACTGGCCAAAGACTTTAATTTTCTAATTAGCCAATACTAATACATTTAAACAGGACAAATCCTGTTATATAAAAGCTGTAAGACTTGTCCAAAGGAAGACAAAAAGAAGCCTAACTTACTAATTCCCTATTGTTTAGGTTCAATTCAGTAATACTGTTCTAAGTATAGAGTAACATATCAAAATTCAAGATTTTATCTATCAATATTCATGACTCATAGTTCATATTAATGTGTAAAGTCAGGCAATGAAAAACCTCAAAGCCTATACCATCACAAAGCAAGTATCTAAAAATAAAAATGCACTGGGAAGAAAAAAATGTTCTTCCTAATTAAAAATTAAGGTAACTAAATACAAAGTAATAAGTTCAAAAGAAGTTGCTTAAAAGTTTTTCCTAAATAATGAATGGCCATTTAGGTCAATTTTAAAATAACATAGTTATTGATTCTATTACATATGGAAAAAACGAAGCATTTAGTATGTAAGAAAGCTACCAAAGTCAAATTGAATGAATTTTCCTAACCCTCGCTCATCATGGTCTGCCTTAAGAAAAATAAAGACAGGGGGACAGACAGGAATTACTACAGTGAATTTCTTTATTTTCTTCTCATTACTGTAGCCAGTAGGCACTCTAAAGTTTTGTCCTGTGATTTGTACCTCTTAACATTTTTACTAGTTAAGGACAGAATAGGAGTGCACAGAGTGTGAAATAATCAAACTCAATGTCAATTAAATTATAGTACCAGTTGATACTTACAAGTGAGTGTAAAAGATCATACTTAATAGTAAAATACTAAAAGTTTCCCTCCTAAGATCAGGAATAAGACAAAGGTGTCTGCTCTCACCACTTTTATTAATCACTGTACTGGAAATTCTAGCCAGGGCAGTTAGGCAAGAAAAAGAAATGAAAAGCATCTAGATTAGAAACAAGGAAGTAAAACTATCTCTATTAACAGATAAAATGATCTGGCATATAGGAAGTCCTAAGAAATACACACACACACACACACACACACACCCATATCAGAGCTAATAAATGTGTTCAGCAAGGTTGCAGTATACAAGATCAATATCTAAAAATTAATTATATTTTCATACACTAGCAATAAAAACTCCAAAAATAAAATTAAGAAAACAATTCCATTCACGACAGCATTCAAAAGAATAAAACACTTAGGAATATATTTAACTAAGAAGTGGAAGACATGTATACTGAAAACTATAAAGCATTGTTGAAAGAAATTAAAGAACACCTAAATAAACGGGAAGAGATCCATGTTCATAGATTGGAAGACATAATATTGTTAAGACCGTAATACTCCTCAAATTTATCTAAGATTCAACTCAATTTCTATCAAAATTCCAGCTGCCTTTTTCTCCCTTCAGAAATTGACAAGTTGATCCTAAAATTCACATGGAAATGCAAAGAACTCAGAAGAGCCAAAATAAACTTGAAAAAGAAGAAAGTTGAAGGACTTACTACTACAAAGCTACAGTAATCATGACTAAGTGGCACTGGCATAAGGACATTAAGTCTTATTATTTGAAGTTTTTCAACATCCCCAAATATTTGATACAACCATATTCACAAAAATACAAACAGCATTTAAAGCCAAATGAAATATTTTAAAGTACAGATGGAAATTTAACTATGGTTTAAAAATGAGAGGAAAGGATTTTTACATTACAGTCTATTAAAATTATACTCCCACCCCCCACAAAGAACAATGCATACACACTACTTCTACTTAAATGTCTCTAAAGACATTTCTCTTTGGGATGAAAAACCTTGGCTGAGATTCTGCTGTTCTAGTTACCGATCTTTAAGGGAAAGAGGGCTTTTTAACAAAGTAAATTTAGAGAGAAACAATCAATTTAAAGTTATAAAGTTACAACGAATTATTTTAGTATACAAACACCCGCAAAAATCTAATTACTAAAAATCTAGTCACTTAGATTTCCAAAATGATTCTTTGAATATATGGCATTTGTATAACAGTGACCACTCATCAGAGATAGCCTTTAGTGGAAGTTAATCATTATTATTTCAAAATAAAAACATAAATTCCTATGTCAACATTTCTGCTTTGCTTAAGTTTGACAGAAAAGCACCAAAAAAGACAAATAACTGTATTCTTCAAAATGATTAGTATTGCTTCGTTTAATACAATAATTATGGCTTAGTGACAGTACACTTTTACATTATAACTATAATATATTAGAAAATAATTCTACGGTCTTTATTTCTGTATCAAAAACTGAATAGGAAAGGCAGAACTATTTAAATACGGGAAGGAAATGGAACTTACGTAAATCGGTGTTTCCAAGCTATCTGTGTTGACCAGTACTGGAGGAGGATTTGCCTTTAAAGAAAGAATTTTAAATGAGTTAGCTTAACAAGGAAATCAAAGCATTACATATTAATGTTCAGAAATGTTAGAAGCATATGAAAGATCTGTTATTTCCTGGACCATAATTTTATGAGTTTTTCATATGCTAAGAAATGTATCCAGTTGCAGCACTAAAGAGAAAAAATTAGGTATAAGTAGTTAAATTAGATTTGCTTTTGAGAAATAAATTGCTATTTCTGCTAAAACATATTTTAAGCCTCGTAAAAAAGTTCACCATAGCCTTTTTATAAAATCCACGAATATTCTGTTATATAACAAATAACTCTAAGTTGCTTAGAAATCATTAGCTTTTCTATTCCCAGGGAAACCCATAAAAATTCCAATCATCTTATCATCCAGAAAAAAAAAAAAATTCTTCCCCACACTGAACTGTATTTGAACATGAAAAAAGGTCTGCCACAAACACACAAAGAAATCAATCTAAAACTTGTATAAAATTGGTAACACATTCTTAATATAAAAGCCCCCAATTATTTCCAGCTGCAATGACTGCTCTCCACCTGTACTTTTAGACCACTCATAGAAACAACAATGGTCTATTATAGCACAAAATACAAGTAAAACATATTAAGTTTAGACTGAAAAACAGCTTGGTTTTCAGGTTAAGTTTGTTTTTACTGTTAGCTGCTGTGGAGTCAATGCTTGATCACAGCAATCCAGGTTACAGAGTAGAACTGGCCCACAGGGTTTTCTAGGCTATAATGTTTCTGAGAGCAGACTGCCAGGTTCTTCTCCTGTGGAGCAGCTGGATGGGTTCGATCTGCCAACCTTTTGGTTAGCAGCCGAGCACTTAACTGTTGTCCCACCCAGGCTCTTGGGTTAGGTCAGAAGTGACTAGTACACAGGTGAAAATAAAGAACAAAACGCTGATACTGAATCCAAAAAAATCAAACAACTGGTAACTTCTTTTCAAATTACCTGTCTTCTGCATCTTTAAGATTATAAAAGTACCAATATCAAATCACAACGTTTTTATAGAATCAAAACGATAACAATCCTTTAAACAAATTATAGCAGACATTTCTATAAACATTAATATTTTTTCTCTTCCAATTAACTGAACCAGAATTACGTAAAAGCTGAACATTAACCATATTAAACAAAATAACCATTTTATTCCAAATATACAGGCTTTTAAAAAAGATGAATATTCAGAGTTCAAATGTTTTATATTATTTTCAGCAAAGACTAGATCTGAATGACCAAATGATAAAATGCTGAAAGAGGCAACACAGTTTCATGGTTAAATACTAACTAGAAAGTATATACTTGGGCTACATAAAACAGCTGATTAAAAGTAGGTAATATCTGTAATATGTAACATGACATTACCTACTTTATGTGCAGCCCTATCTTTGAGTATCATAGTGCAGCTCCAAGTGATTCAGTGAAAATCAAACATAACAAACATACTATTTGTAAGACTGCTACTTAAGCAGTTACTCAACTTACAGACATCTGAGATTTTATGAATATCTGGAATTGTTTCCCAATGATCTATTGAGGTTCTTCAAAGTGACAGTATTTTACTTCATTAAAAAATATTAATGGCACAACTTCACCTTACTCTGCTTAAGTAATTACGGAGGAGGGCAAGAAAGAACATAGCTATTTAAAGTTCCAAAAGAAGTTACATTTTCAACAGTTATGGCAGAAACACATTTGGTTTCCTGTGCCCAATTACCGCTAAGTGTGCAGTGGAAAAAAGGTGGTTCTCATCAAAATCTAATTTATCCCATAATTACTACAACGCTAGCTGCTTATCAGAATCAACTTATCATCATATAGAAGCTACCTTTTGATTCAAGTCATTTAAAAAGTCTTGCTGATATCAAAATATACATGAATACAACAATATGAGGTGTTAACTTTACTTCAAAATAAAACAATGGGAAGTTGAAGGTGGGAGAAGGTATGGATCAAGTAAGAGTGGACATGAGCTGATGACTCGTAGCTGGTGATGGGTACACATGTGAGTTCACTGTATACTCTTTCAGTATTTCTGAAAATTTCCATAATAAAAAGTAAAGCAAAAAAAAAATCATATTGAGCCAAGTACTCAGTTTGTAAGAGGTTATTTACTGAGGCAGCTGTGAAATACCGTAAGTTACAGTTGCTATTAAGATATTAGCATTCACACCCTAAAACTGATATTAATACCTGTATTAGCTTCCTAGGGCTGCCATAATAAATTACCACAAATTGAGATAAATATATTCTTTCACAGTTCTGGAGGCTTGTTGTTGTTGTTAGTTGCCATAGAGTTGGCCCTCGACTCATGGTGACCCCCCCTACAACAGAAGAAAACACTGTCGGGTCCTGCACCATGCCCATGACCGGTTGTGGATCGGAGTTTTGTGATCCACAGGGTTTTCAGTGGCTGATTTTCAGAAGTACAACGCCAGAGCTTTCTTCCTAGCTCATCTTAGTCTAGAAGCTCTGCTGAAACCTGTTTAGGATCACAGCAACATGCAAACCATCAATGACAGATGGTTGGCTGACCGTGAGGTGTGTTGGCCGGGAATTGAACCCAAGTCTCCTTCACAAAAAGTGAGAATTCTACCAGTGAACCACCAATATCCTCCTGAACTACCAGTGTCCCCCAAACATGGCTATCCTTATGACCTGCTGCAGTTGTAAATTGGACCACTGTGATCCACAGGGTTTTCACTGGCTGATTTTCAGAAGTATATCACCAGGGCCTTTCTTCCTAGTCCATCTCGGTCTGGAAGTTCTGCTGAAACCTGTTCAATATGATAGCAAAACACAAGCCTCCACTGACAGACAGGTGGTGGCTGTGCATCGGTGCAATGGCCAGGAATCAAACTTCAGTCTCCCACGTGGAAGGTGAGGATTCTACTACTGAACCACCTCCACCCCAGGCTAGAAGTCCGAAATCAAGGTGTGCCTCTGCCTAGTTTGTTAGCTGCCAGCAATCCTTGGTTTGTAGACGAATCACTCCAATTTCTGCCTCCATCGTCAAATGGTGTTCTCTGCATGTTTGTCTCTTTGTATCACATGGTCTTCTTATAGGACACCAGTTATTGGATTTAGGGCCCACCCTAGTCCAGTAGGAAACCGGATGGTATAGTGGTTAAGAGCTTCGGCTGCTAACCAAAAGGTTGGCAGTTCGCATCCACCAGGTGCTCCTTGGAAACCCTACGGGGCAGTTCTACTCTGTTCTATAGGGTCGCTATGAGTTGGGGTCGACTTGACGGCAACAGGTTTTTTTTTTTTTTTTTTTCAGTTTTCTAGTCCAGTACGACTTTATCTTTTTTTTTTGTTTAAAGTCTGTCTGCTCAACTTTTTTTTTTTTTTAATTGTACTTTAGATGAAAGTTGACAGAACTAGCTTCTCATTAAACAGTTAGTACACATATTGTTTTATGACACTGGTTAACAAACCCATGACATGTTAACACTCTCCCTTCTCGACTTTGTGTTACCTATTATCAGCTTTCCTGTCCCCTCCTGCTCTAGTCCTTGCCTCTGGGTTGTTGTGCCCCTTTAGTCTTGTTTTGTTTTACAGGCCGGTCTAATTTTTGGCTGAAGGGTGAACCTCAGGAGTGACTTCATTACTGAGCTAAAAGAGTGTCCGGGGGCCATACTCTTGGGATTTCTCCAGTCTCTGTCGGGCCAGTAAGCCTGGTCTTTTTTTTGTGAATTAGAATTTTGTTCTACATTTTTCTCCAGCTCTGTCTGGGACCCTGTATTATGAACCCTGTCAGAGCAGTCAGTGGTGGTGGCCGGGCACCATTTAGTTGTACTGGACTTGGTCTGGTGGAGGCCGTGGTAGATGTGGTCCATTAGTCCTTTGGACTAATCTTTTCCTTGTATCTTTAGTTTTCTTCATTCTTCCTTGCTCCCAAAGGGGTGAGACCTGTGCAGTATCTCAGATTGCTGCTCACAGGCTTTTTAAGACCCCAGATGCTACTCACCAATGTAGAATGTAGAACATTTTCTTTATAAACTATGTTATGCCAATTGAGTTAGATGTTCCCCAAGACCATGGTCCCCACAGCCCTCAGTCCAGCAATTCGGTCCCTCAGGGAGTTCGTATATGTCTATGGAGCTTCCATGACCTTGCGTTGGCTTCCCCGGCTTTGTGTACTGTCTTACCCTTCACCAAAGTTACCATTTATCTATTGTCTATTTAACGTTTTTCTATTTTCACCCCTCCCCCTCCCCCTCCCTCATAACCATCAAAGATTGTTTCTTCTTGTGTGTAAACCTTTCCAGTGTGACCTTATCTTAACCCAAGTACATCTGCAAAGACTCTTATTTCCAAAGAAGGTCACATGCACAGCTTCCAGATGGACATGAATTTGGAGGGACACTATTCAACCCAGCACAATGTTTAAAGTTCATTTTAGAATTAAAAGAAAAAACCCAAACCCATTGCTGTTGAGTCAACTCTGACTCATAGCAACCTTATAGGACAGAGTATAACTGTTCCATAGGGTTTCCAAGGCTATAAAATTTTTTTTTTTCCAATTAATTTTTTTAAATTGTATTTTAGGTGAAGGTTTGGAGCTCAAGTTAATTTCTCATTCAAATATTTATATACATATTGTCTTGTGACATTGGCTGCAATCCCCACAATGTGACAGTACGCTCCCCCATTCCACCCTGGGTTCCCTGTGCCCATTCGTCCAGTTCCTGTCCCTTTCTGCTTTTTTGTCTTGCTTTTGGACAGGAGTTGCCCATCTGGTCTCGTATATTTGATTGAACTAAGAAGAACATTCCTCACGTCTGTTCTGTTTGTTTTATAGGCCTGTCTGATCTTTGAAAACTGGGATTTGGGAATGGTTTCAGTTCTGGGTTAGCAGAGTATCTGGGGGCCATAGTTCCAGGGGTTCCTCCAGTCTCTGTCAGATCAGTAAGTCTGGTCTTTTTTTGTGGATCTGAATTTTGTTCTACATTTTTCTCCTGCTCTAAGGCTATAAATCTTTATGGAAGCAGACTGCCACGTATTTCTCCTGCGGAGAGGCTGGTGGGTTCGAACCAGGTTTGAACTTGGATAGTAGCTGAGCACTTTAACCACTGTGCCACCACGGTTCCTGATTTGTAATACCGACTTAATGAACATGACTAGGTAAGCTTAAGGAGAAGCTACTTCAGGGGGAAAAAAAAAAAAAAAAGAAAAAGTTGGCCATAGAAAGTATATACTTTCATATAGCTGAAGTAAAGGGTACTAAAACCTAAAACAGTAGCAAATCTGGCTAACTTAAGACCTTGGGATCCTTAACCAGGACAAGTGGGTAGCACAGTAGGTAACATGGAATTATCAACTTTGCTTAGGAGGAAATCGAACAACAACAACAACAAAAAGGATTGAGAGTAAGTTATGTAAAAACTATTTCAAATAAATAAAAACCCTTCCCTGTGCCTCATTTTCTCCGTCAGTAAAGACAGTAGTAATACCTGCCTCTACCCGAGTACTGTGTGAGGCTCCAGTGAAGTAATATAAAGGAAAACGTTGTAAATCACAGAAAGCTATATAAAATACTTATATATTATTATGTACTAACAATATACATCACTGCACTTTTTCAACTTGGACAATAATGAAGTCCTACAATTTACTTAGAGACAGGGGGAATAAAGTAAAGGGGCAGGTACATTCCAGAAGGAGGCACTAATGAGCCCCTGAAGAATTTGACCAAGTATCAATAAGAAAACTTAAGAAACATAATTTTGCTCACCCAACTTTTACTATGCTATTTCATTAACAAAAGATCTCCTACTGATTGCTGTTAGAATAGATTGAAACATCCTTACACAATTTCAGAGGGCCCTATTACATTAAAAAAAAACTGTTAAAATAATTCTAAGATCTAGTCATTTAAAAATAGGCCATAATGTTTAGAAAATGCTATTTTACACTGTATTTCTTCTCTTTAGCATTTATCAAAGTTTCATTACGTTATTTGTTGGCTGTCTCTTTCTCCCCTACTAAATTATAAACAAGTGTTTTTCAAATGCAGCACTCATAAACCCCAGAGAATACATCTTGAATTCTAATTTGAGACACATTAAAAGTTAAGTGCTATCACTGAGGTGATTGCTGTGGGTTAAAGTGATTAGAAAAACAAATGGAAATAAGGGCACTGTGGTCAGGTGTCAGTGTTTGGTAAAAAATGGCTCATCCAAACAATCCAAAGTACACTCTAACATTTAAGGTTACTGGTAAAACGGAAGTAGCCTTGGTGGTGTAGCGTAGCTTGGCTGCTAACCAAAAGGTCGGCAGTTCGAACCCACCAGACATGCCACAGGAAAAAGATGTGGCAGCAATCTGCTTCCGTAAAGATTTACAGCCTTAGAAACCCTATGAGGCTGTTCTATCCTGTCCTATAGGGTTGTTATGAGTTGGAATCGACTTCACGGCAGTGGGTTTGGTTTTAGCTTTTTTGGTAAAATGAAAATATATCAAGTCATACTTCAGATTACACTAATGATCTAATCTTTTAATACCAATTTGTGAAACTTGAGAAGTCCAGAAACAACAGAATGCTCTGCTCTGGACACAGCTCTAATTTAAGTACTCTCCAGTCATATAGGAGTTATTTGTTAATTTGTCTCTTGCACAAATAATAGTAGGCTCCTAGACAACAGGGACAATGTTATATTCATCTTAGAATCTCTATGATTGAATAATAAAAAACTGAATGAAAAATAATCTGCTCCGAAGTATATACTTGAATATGAAAAAAAGATCTCTCTCTCTCACACATAAACACACCCTACAAGTATTTTCAACAATACCTCAATTATACAATAATTATACTCGCAACTGAGAGAAATAAAGGTGTAAAGTATCTGGCTTTTAAGAAGAGTATTTACTTGGGAGGAGACATATAAGCCTGTGAATTTAATGGACCAAGCATCACAGAGATATGGTTACATATCCAGGAGAAAAAGCATCTGTTATTCCATGTGGAGAAACTGACGCTCTGAGAAGTTAGGTAATTTTTCCCACCATCACACAGCCAGAAAGTAGTGAGGCAAGGAAGTGATGGAGTCAGGTCTATCTGACTATAAAGTCCATGTTCCTTCTGCAACTTTAAGTGGCCATTCAATATACATTTTTTTTCTGTACCACTCTGTAAAATCAGCACAATAATTCCTACTGTAGAGGGCTTTCATAAAGTTCAAATGACATGATCAATATAATAGTACTCTGAAAATATGAGTTCCAGAAATAATGAAAGACAATATATTTTCTTAAATATATATGTATGTGTATAATTTGCCTGACTTTCAAACTCATTCGGAAGTTGTCAGGGAGGCATTAACTCCCATTTAATAAATGAAGGGGGTACAAAACTCAGAAAGGTTAAGTAACTTTCTGAGTGACAAAGACAGGACTAAACTCTAAATCTTGTGTCTTCTGCTTCTATTTCTATTATATCCTGATGCACCAATATAATACAGTAGCAGATCTTTAGAAGAAAAATTATTTCCATTTATCAGAACTTATTTGAAGACAAAAATCATTAATGGGCTGTATTAATTTTATAATGTACGTTATACAAAATCAAGAATACACTTACTGTGGAAAATTAGGCACACAACTAGGCTTTCTCAGATAATACAACATCAACTGTTAACTATCCTTCATGGATTTTTGCAGTGCATTTAAAATCTAAAGTGTGTCTAGGTAGAATACATAGGCCTATCTCTTGTATACATAGCCTCATTTTTTTTTTAACTTGTCTCTTGCTTTACTGTCTCAAAGAAATATGAGACAACACTAATAACATCAATAGCCAAGATCTAAATGCTTACCATGTACCAGTCACTGTGCTGTGTCCTTCGCACACAATAATCATCCTTTCAATCATTGTAACAACACTTTGAGTTAGCAGTACTATCATCTTCAGTATGACAGATGAGTAAACAGAAGTTCAGTGTGGTTAAGTAGACTGCACAAAGTTACACAGCTAATAAGTAGTAGGAATGGAATTTCAATTCAGGTCAACATGATTCCAAAGCCAGTATTTTTAACTAAAGGCTATGCAATGTCTCAACAGTTTCCAAGTGTAGTGGGATGTTAAGTTAAGGAGACTTGGAGTAAATAAATTAATCAATAAGAAAGGACAGGTTCCTTACTGAATATAAGATGACATTGGTACAAAATTTCAAAGAATTCTAGAAAACTATTTCCATATCAAATAGTTGAATTCAAGAGATGAGAGTGAAATAAACTTTCAAATTTCTTATTTTTAAAGAAGTATTGTAGTACTAAGCCTTAGATACCTGGGAAGATGTTACATTAATACAGTGCTACAATAACCCTTAGGCTGTTCACTTAGAAGTATATTTTATTTATAAGTTCAATTTCTTCTCTGCAATATAGAGAGAATATTTATCCAGATTGGTCGATTCACTTCTTGGTGGTTTTCTTTGATTTAATTTTTAATGATTTTCATAAAGGGTCAAGATTATGTAGAAGTAGTAACAGTAATATAGACTGGCCTTACTGTAATACCTGTAATTTCCCCTAGAATCCTAATTTGTATTGATGTTCCTATTAATTTTCTTTTTTTGGGAGAGGAGGAAGGTGCTGAAAAGTAAGTGATCACGGTTGATATCCCATTTTTTCCCCAGTGGGGGCTTATTTTGAAACTGTTTACACAGCAAACATATTATTTTTACTTAGATTTTGTTACAGATCAATAATAACAAATGTCTAAGTATGCATTTCTTCACATTTGAAATAAGACCTTTTACACCAAAGATCATTATTACTATAGTTAATTATACATTATTTTCACTTTGAATGAGTCTGTTGCAAGGGCAGTTAATGTCTCCTTAGACCACCCTTTGAGACTACTAAAGTGCTGAAAGCTAAAAATGTTCACATTCTCTGATAATTGGCTATTATTTCATTTTCTTTTTTGGCTGTTACATGCTTTTAAAAATATTTTAAAATTAACTAGTATAGTTTTAAATTTACAGAAAAGTTGCAAAGACAACACAGAGAGTTCCCATATACTTCATACACATCAGCCATTATTTTTAATTAACAAATGTGAAGTATGTTATGTAAAAAAACAATAGAAGGATGAGTATTTCCAAAGAAGATGAATATATCCTGGGAAATAAAATGACACATCCATTACAAGATTAGAAGGCTAATAATTTTTATTATCTTTAAAATATGAACAAAATTTTCTAAAGCAAAAATATTTAAAAACTGCTTCATACACATTTACAAGTATTAAAGGCATAATAACAAACTCAAGGAGGTTCTATATTATGAAGGTAAGTTTAGAATGTGTCCTATTTCACAGGCAACCTAATAAAATAGCAAACGTTGAATCCATTTTATATTAAATCTCAAATATTTAGTTCTTGAAAATACCCACCGATGCCCAAATTTAACAAAGCAACAGTTAGAACAGTTTTAAAACAATACAAATAAAACATTAAAAGCAAATCAAATTTTCACGAAGAAAAAAGAAACTAATAACCTGTGTTATGTTGGGTAGGATGACAGTATTCTCAGCAGGGACTGGCAGGACGGGGATCACGGGGACAGTGGGAGAAGAGGGAGGTACAGCTTCTGTTGGCTAAAAATCATCAATGACAAAAAATCAGGACAAAACACCAAAGTAAAAGGGAAAACACTCAACAGAAAGTTGTGACATATAGTTTTCAGAAATAACTGAAAAACAGGTAAAATATTTACATATTGCTTCAATTTAAATGAGAACATGCTCTCTTCAGAAATAATCTGAATAATAATCATACCACCGATGATAACTTCAATGACTGTAGTTAAAATGAATGACTGCTCTTTGGATGTATAAATGAAAATAATAAATGATAATGACTTACAATATCCCTCCCTCCAGGAGATAATACACTTGCTGCATAGATAGACTGCAGAATATTTTTCTAGCATTCCAGATACATTTGACTACTTTCCTCTCAGCATTCAGAGAATCAAAAGTAATTTTATTAGCCCATCAGCAAAAGATCTGAAGGATTTCAAAATTTAATCTATATCACTTTTAAATAATCTGTGCTAGTGACCTCTACTATCAAGAACAGTAATAACCTTACTAAACCTGTCTGTACAGTCATTAATTTAATTAAGATTCACTAAAAGCCCCGGTGGTGAAGTGGTTACGATCTATGACTGCTAACCAAAAGGTCAGCAGTTCAAACCCACTAGACACTCCTCGGAAATCCTATGGGGCAGTTCTACTCTGTCCTATAGGGTTGCTATGAGTTGGAATCGACTCAGCAGTAATGGGTTTCGTTTTTGGTTAAGTGTCTGTTACGTGCCTTACAGATTCCAGAAAACTGTTTCATAAATGAGGTGTAACTTGTTTTGAACTCTGAAAGATAATTAGGAAATTGCAAGGCAGACAGAAGAAGTGATATTAAAAACATTTAATGCAGGAGGGTCAGGTAATAAATTAAAACTTTTAGAAAGATCATCTGGCAGCAGGGAAAACAAACTGCAAGCGAGAAAGGGAAAAGAGGTGGAGAACCCTGATAATATAAACTAAGATGTTTTAACATTTCCAGTCAATTATTATGTTTGACTTGATTCAATTATTTTTAAAAAGATTTAACTGGAACACACAAAAGGTGTTTTGTAACAAGACCCAGTCCTATAAATTGGATCAATTCATAAACATTTGCTACAAAAACAACGTATCTTACATGTATAAGAAAACACTAACATCAAACAGGTTAAGAAGACAATGTGCATCAACAAAGACTTAAAACAGGAAAAACAAATTGTTAAACATGAACAAAAAACCTCAGAAGAGCCAAAAATAAACCTGGCTAAGATCTAACCTATACAATAGTCCAATTCCAGGAGATACTTCGGCTGCCCTTTGGAGGGCAGAAGCAGTGAGCACCCATGGTAGGAGTTTCTAGACCCAAGTTTGAGAGTTAGAATGATTTTCCCAGAGAAGTAATAACATCTGATAAGACAGGTGAAATAGTACTGAAAGTACATTATGAATAAAGCCTCAGGGGGCTGGGTCTGGCTTTGGACTCCAATCACTATTTATATATTGTTCCTTTAGAAAAAAACATTCTGAATTCCATATAATGAGCTTAAAATTAATAATTTAAATACCAACCAATTTTAAGTGGAATACTTATCTGATCTTCTAGAAATGTCTGAAAACCCACAGGTTCTAACTCTTAATTTTAAAGGTGGTACTTCAAAGCAGTAGGAAAAGGTGTTTTTTTTTTTTTAAAGAACTGCTGCCAGATCAACTGGACAGCTATACGGAAAAACAAATGAATCCTGATCCCTACCTTATAGCATGCTCAAAATCAGTTCCAGATGGTTGTTGACACAATTGAGACAGGTAAAAAAAATAAAAAATAAACAAAGCTTCTAGAAGATAACATAGTAGAATATCATCATGACTTGGATGTTGGCAAAAACTTTCTTGAAGAGGAAAATGTAGGTTGCTGAAGATAAGTAGGGTGAGGAGAGCATCTGTGTGCAGGGAGTGGAGGAGTGGCAGAAGCCTGACACAAAGTGCTGGAGCCTGAGCAAGGTGAAACAAGTGTCCATCAGGGCAGAGCAGGAGCATCAGTCTGATGTGCACTGCTGGAGTCCAAGTGAGATGAAGAGAGTCTCTATGTGAGGGGCAGTGGTAGCATGAAGCATGGGGGCCTGAGTAGGGTAAAGGGGGATCTGCTGGAACCTGAGCAGTGAGGCGGGTAACCATCTAGAGTGTCAGTAGTGATAAGGAGATTGCCTACGTAGAAGGGATTTTGATCCAATAAATAAATAAATACATAAAGGATAATCAGAGCAAGGTTTCTCATGTCAGGGAGTTAACACATATGGAAAGGGACAAAATTAGAATGAAATCTATGGTGTTAGACTGGAATTGGAGGTATTGGTATGATCGCAGAATTATCAATATAGGTAGAGAAATAAATATAACTCTGTGTGTGTGTGTGTGTGTGTGTGTGTATGTATTATATATTCCCTAGTTATGCCCACAAGGAGGATCTGGGAGTAGCAACACCCCAACGGCATGAACATACCTAGCACCCAGATCTTGCTTTCTAAATACCCGTTCTCCTTAAAAAAAAGAGAGAAAACAAAGCAGGGTTTCTTGGAGAAATGGCTGATTTCAGCAAGTACAATATGAGCCTAGAACATTTTGCTGTGCCAGAAAATAAGGAAATACTCCAACTGTAATGGGGGCATGACAAAGAACACAGAAAGGGCTTCCACTGGTCAAACTGGGAACAATTTGAGACTCAAAATAAATAATGATAATAATAGCATAAAATCCACTGTATAAAAGTAAGAATCTGTGAGTCCATACTGATGTGAATAAATACATGAATAATAAATGGGGGAAGGGAAAGTATTTCCTTACAGCAGAATGCCCACTAAAAAAATGTAGAAGGAATGATGAAATTACAAAATCATCATTTAGCAATGACCATGGTAAAAAAATCAGAGCCCTGGTGGTGCAGTGGTTAAGAGCCTGGCTGCTAACCAAAAGCTAGCAGTTCGAATCCACCAGCTGCTCCTTGGAAATGTTATGGAGCACTTCTACTCTGTCCTGTAGGGTCGCTAGGAGTCAGAACTGACTGGATGGCAATGGGTTTGGTTTGGTTATAGTAAAAAATCACTCAAGAAACATCAGCTTCCTGACTAGTGGATAAAATTTTGAATGGGATATATGTGTGTATGTATCTATACGTATCTCCCTGCAAAATATTTATGGGAGTGGAGAAACCTAATAGATACTATCTTAATAATCATAGTTAATATTACTATTAATGGGACAAATCAAAATCATATGCCACCTAATAAAATGTAGTAAGAACACATCACTTCTGGAACATTCCTATCAAAGATGCGTAACTTGAATCTAATCATCAAGCCTCAGACAAACTCAAATTCAGTGATACACTACAAAACAACTAGTTGTAGTCTTCAAAAGTGTCCAAGTCAAGAAAGTCTAAAATAAGTTTATTTTTTAAATGTTTGAAAATGTCCCAATTGTAACATTAAATTATTTTCTTAGTAATGATCTCCAGTCCAAATAACAGGATCAGATATTAGCTGATTAATACTTCACTATGATTTTAAAAAAAAAGACAACACTACATGCTTATGCCGAATTTCAAAGCCAAGCACAAAACAAACAGTTGTTCTCCAAAATCCTTTATGATAAACTATAAAACTTTTAATGTTACATTTAAATTTCACTGTAACCGTTTATCTCTGATACAATTTTTAAAAAAATCCTAAAACAACCTACACCTTGTTAATTCACACTTTATAGGCCACTAAGCAAGTACTTTAAAAAAAGAACATGTTACTGTCTCTTTCTTAAGGAAGGCAATCACTGACAGGGTCATGCTTAAAAACAAATGACATATCAACACAAACAATTTCTAAGCCACAGCTAATAACTCATTCAGGTAAGAAGAATTCCAGAACAACAAAATCACTTACTTTACTTAAAGCAAAAATACAGCTCTAAATAAATATTAATCAAACAAAGGTTGGTTGATATGGAACACATAGATATTAGATCTGATAACAGTAATATTAAAGGATGAGAGGATATTTTGAGTGCAGGATTGAGAATATGATTAAATTTTGGGAAGTTGTGTAAGAAGATTCTAAATTGGTAAAATGTCAAACTGAAGATTCTAATATAAAGAATAAGACAATAATATATAGTAATCGTTTTATATTTGGGTTATGATAGAAAAGAATTCAGCATAAGTATTTTAAACTTGAAAAATCTTTTACACATATCTCATTAATTAGACAATAATGGCTCCTATGCCATCATCCTTGTTCTGCTCCATTTCTATCACTCAGTAAGATCAGCTACAGTTTTTTTTTTATCTTGACCATGTGACTAACAACGGTCTCAGTTGTTTCTATCCATAGCAACACCATGGAATCATTAGGCTCCGAGGCTGCCTTTAGACACTTGTTTCCATGACAACAGAGGCTATAATATTAACACTGTCTCAAAGAACACTGCAGGAAATGATAAATTTTTGTAAAATAACTGAATAGAGTGTACATATTTTAAAAGTATTTTTTTTTAACCAGTATTAAATTGAGAGGTTCCTGAAAAATGTTTAAACTGATTTATTTTTTGGAGATTCTTATTATTAATTTTCTTTATAGTTTTACATTTCACACCTAATTTAAGGTCTTAAAGTTATTAAATCAGCTTTTAAACATAACAGATTTTCATAAAAGTGGTCTGAAGCCTCATCAAGCATAGTCAGTACATAATGTGTACTGTACGTCTACATTTATGACTATGTACCACCCTTCCTCACTTCCATTCATTCAACAACATATGTATGCTGAGTGCGCCTATTACCTTTATTAAGGTTCCTGGGTGGCGCAAATGGTTAAGCACTTGACTACTAGCCGAAAAGTTGGTGGTCTGAACCCATCCAGAGGCACCTCAGAAAACAGACCTGCCAATCTGCTTCCAAAAGATCACAGCTTGGAAAACTCTACGGAGCAGATGTTCTCTGCATACACCGGGTCACCATGAGTTTGAATTGACTAAATGGCAACTAACAA